ATATTAAATATCTAAAAGATTATCTTCCATTTTTATTGATATATTAACTACTACACATTTGACCATTATTGCTTATCTAAAATATGCAATCATATGCTCTCAGCAGCTGTAGTAATAATCTTAAATTACACAGCCACACAAATAATAGATGCTTGTTAATCATAGTTATGACACTCACAATGTTAACCATATCAAAATTTATTAGGTTAGATAAGTTGATAAAACAAAAACACTAAAAAATCTTTAGAATAAATTATGTAAATATATTGAAGCCTTGAGTTATTTACACGGCAAGGATGCCATATTAGAAATGAAACATTTTTTAACTATAAAATAAGAACCAGAGTGATATCATGAAATCAATTAAATATATTATTGTCGCTCCACCTCTAGTTGGTTTATTATATCGTAAGTAGTTTGTAATATTATCAAAAATATAATCGCATTAAAAATTTAACTCGAAACTGTTTTTCAAAGAAGGAAAAAATAGCTTTCCTAAAAACACGTAAAAAAGGAGAAGAAAATATATCTAATTTATTACATCCATTATGGGATGAATAATAATATGTTTAATTTTTAATAATATTTTATATAAATAGATGGCGTTAAAGAATTGAATGCAAATTGTTTCATATATTTATTATCAAAAGCATTTATTAGTAAAATCTATTAAATATTAACTGTAATATATTATATAAATGTCATATACGTCTGTAAAAGTCGCATTTTACCTAATATTTTATAACCAATAATATATAATAGAAGATTATAAACTATAAATCTACAAAGTTAAAGAAATCTCTTATACTTGTTTGGGGACCTTGAAAATATTTTTAGGAAGAGGCATCGTAATTAAATTTAAAATGAATAATATAGTTAATTAGGGATTTTGAACTCGGCTAATAATATTAAATTTGTTAATTTTCAAATAATAAATGATTATATAATAATTTAAATAATAAAAGTCAATTAAGCTTCAACTGTTAATGCTAAATTAATATTAAGTGAGTGATATTGATATTCTATAACACAGAATTTGATTGCAAGCTGACATAGTAAAAATATAATTTATATATATTAATCTAATCTAATAATTAAAATAGTATTCATTTAATAAAAATTTAGATAGTGTTATTAATTTTTAAATAATAAAATTAAATCAATATATTACTTAATAGAATTATAAAAAAATCTTCAGAAGGCAATCAAAAAAATTTATTTTTAGTTCAAGTCAAGGGGATATTAAGGAGCCATTAAAAAAAAAATTTTGCTTCAGAGGGCTATACAAATTTTTTATGGGGCTAGAGCCCCTGTGCGCCATCCTCTAGTGACGCCACTGGTAATTTGTATAGATATCGGTAGTAAAATTTACTCAACAAGACATTTTTATTCAAAAAGATTTATTAGACACCTTTCCAGACTTTTTTTTTAAATTTCTATACACATTAATTATTTACCGAATCTTCTGCATAATATAAATTATTTTTTTTGAAGATTTTAGGTAAAAAAATTTACTGCTATTCCTAAAAATAATATTTTTAAAAGAATTAGGAAAACAAAATAATTTACAATTTTATCGAGGTCCGAGTTTAATCCGATTCAAAAGAGATTAAAATCAAGGTCCAAATTTCATCAAGTCCAATTAAATATTTTACAAGTCCGACCGACCCATTCGGAAGGATAGAACTCATATCGGTATGCTCAGGACTATAGTTTATATGTGTTGCTGACCATACAGCGTCTACATGACAGGATTTCCACCGGATGCAAACCCCCCTTCAAAAACATTTGCCTACCCCTCTACAAAATTCCCTCCGTCTTTGGCGGCGGTGTCTCCTTATTATTATTTTCGCCTTTTAAATTTATTGATACTCTTTTCAGAGAATTTATAAAGGATAACTTAAATTAATATATCTCTACTACCAACTATCGATAATTTGTGAATATAAAGAATTTATTTTTTAGATAATAAATTCAATTAAAACCTCCATTATTTACAATGAATTAATTCTTATGGCATTATGAGCAAATATCTAAACCTTTTAAACATTTAAAAAGATAGCAGAAAGTTTTATTTGGAAAACAATGTGTATGATTGTTTGCAATATATAGATTTGGTCGATGAATTGTATTATAATAATTCTATAATAAAAGTATTAATTTTTACAGCAATAAATTTTGTCCTATTTCATCTCAAAATTTAATAGATAACCCCCCAAAAAATTTATCCTACCCCCATTAAAACAGCCTACCTCCTACCCCCCCCCCCTCAAAAAAATAGGATGCTAACTGTTCCTACCCCTCCCGCTCATGTAGACGCTGTGACCATATGTGTAATCATATGATAGAGCTCAGCGCCATTATTTCTAGGTGCAACCTTGATCTTGTTAAAACTTTAACTATCATTAATTTTAAATTTTAATAAAATCGGTATTATCCAAATTTTTTTTCAGTTTTATTAAATAAAAGTATATTGTTAATTTAATTTAACAAAAAGAATTATTTCTTTCTTTCATTTAAAGAAATATTAAATAAAAATGTTGATCGAAATTGATATTTAGGAGTCAGAGCCAGAACTAAAGTTTGGAACCGAAACCAGTTACTGGAAATCCCGGAACCCGGAAGAATGTAGGAACTGAAACCGAACCTGGGACCCTCTCTTAAATTCATAATAACTATATTAAAACTCATTTAAAAATTTTTAGGAAACTTACAAAATGGAAAGTAATTTTTATATATGGACAATGTGTCATTTTTTCAACTTCAAATCCATTTTTGAGCATGTTTCTTAAAATTTAAAAATCTGATTTTTCCGGAAATATATTTCAACATGTTAAGAATATCTATCTTATAAATTGTAGGCAATTTTGCAGTTAACCTTTTAGTCATTTATAATTTATATAAAAAATCTATGGAAAAACTAGTATAAATTATATTAAGTTAAGAGTTCTCGTCAAAATTGTCTGAAATTTTTAGAGTTTATGTTAGATACATGATGGAATACATTTTCGGTAAAATTAAATTCTTAAATTTAAAAAATTAAAAAATTAACACTCAAAAATAATTTAAAATTTAAAAAAACATTTCCGGAAAAAACATCTCGCTAACATATATAAATATGTTTAAAATGTTCATGTGATTCATTTTGATAGGTTTATTTATTGTTATTTTTTAAAAATTTAATTGCTTTAAAAAGTTTGGAATTAAAACATGAACATAGGACCCTTGTAACAAAGTGAAATTTGTAAACTGGAAGCAATTAGGAATCAGTGTTCCAACTCTAGCTAGAATGCAAATTTTCTATTAGGAAACAAAGTATCGATTGAACTACCAAAGCTTGACAATCTAATATATATTTCTATTTCAGGCATTTAAGGCTTCATCTAGAATATGCAACATTCCTCAACCTTCTCTTCTTATCACACTATCACACTTTATTAATATTTAGTTGTTCCTTGAAAACAATAAAGAATGGAAAGCTTCTGATTTGTTTTGGAATGTATATCATCTCGATTTATGCGTGAATTTTTTTATAAAAAAAGTGAAAGCTAAAATTATGGTAGATAACTCAAATTTAAAAATTTAACGGCATTCTACCTACAATTTGTACTTACTTAAATGACCGATCCGGCCTTGCTTATACCTATAACTAAGCTACATTTTTTTCTAAGGTTGCATATAGATTTTTATAGCTTATAGCACATTTTTAACTGTGGCTATTATGCCCATTCTTCATCTATACATATTAAAAAATATATATTTATGTCTTCGAGCATGTGAAACCTAAACAATAAATTTTTATTCAAAAAAATTTATTAGGCACGTTTCCAGACTTTTTTTTAAATTTCAGACTATACCTGTTAATTATCTCCTGAATCTTCTGCATAATATAAATTAGTCACCATTTAATCGTTAATACTAATTATTTTTTTGTTCTTTTATTAACGATTAAATGAAGTCACAACAATGATGCGAAATCGCTCCAATTGAGCCAATTTTTAAAAATGGCTAGCTTAGTATTTTATCCTGATAAATATTAAGCAAGCCTGAAGATTTTGTTCATAAATGGCACAAAGGTTTGGATATCTAATTTCGAAGCTTAGGCAATACATTTCTGGGTAAAATATTGAGTTCGTCGATTTTAAAAATCGGGTTATATGGAGCGATTTTGCATCACTATCTACAAATTTAAATATTTTTTATTGAAAAAAAATTGATGCTACAAATTATTATCGTATATGGTCTAAAAGTTTTTTTAAAAAACTGTTTTCAAAGAACATTAGTTGTTTGTGACAAATAAAAATTACTTGATATTTAAAAAATATTATAGGAAAAACTGAAAGATAAACGCATGGATTACAATTGTAAATTTATATTTTGACAAGACATCAAACAGGGAAATAGAACTATGACATATAAAATACGGGATAATTTAACTATTTGGAGTGCCTAAGGATAAGAAAAAAATCCGCTTTTACAAAATTAAATAGCCATAATTAAGAAATTATATATTTATAACAAAAGTTATGACACAAAGAAAACAATAATCATTTATAACAAGAATGTGGAATTTATACGATAATTTGGGAAATCTTGTTGATAAATAAATCCCTTCATTATACTCTAATATTTTCCACAAAAGAAATTGTTATCATGAATATTACTAATTTGGGCATTATTAGTGATTAGTTATTTTAATTGTGGACATTTCCCAGATTAATTAAAAATTCATATTTAGAATAAAATCAACTTAGGCAGTTGGGATGGATACAATTCATTTCGTTGTTTTATTATTAATCTGGCAGTTAATCAAACGATTTTATTGAATTACGTAGTTTAAAAAATATTATAATATTTATGTAATTTGATTAAAATTTTATGCAATCATTTTATTCATGACAATGATTAATGATGTAATAAATAAATTTTTCTTGAGCATATTTTTTTTTATCTTAAAATTAATAAGTATTTTTAACAATACAGCGTTCTAGTTTCTTGTATATTTAAAAACACGCAAATATTATTCGATATCCTCTTAACAAATGGCAGAAGTTCAACCATTAGTAGTTGATAATGGGTCTGGGATATGCAAGGCTGGTTTTGCAGGTGATGATGCTCCGCGTGCAGTATTTCCCTCAATTGTAGGTAGACCTAAACACAAAGGTGTTATGATGGGTATGGGACAAAAGGATTGCTATGTAGCTGATGAAGCCGAGGCTAAAAGAGGTATACTAACTTTAAGATACCCTATAGAACACGGTATTGTAACTAATTGGGATGATATGGAGAAAATTTGGCATCACACATTTTATAACGAATTGAGAGTAGCTCCTGAAGAGCATCCCGTTTTGTTGACTGAAGCTCCTTTGAATCCTAAGTCTAACAGAGAAAAGATGACACAGATTATGTTTGAAACCTTTAATGTTCCCGCTCTTTATGTCGGTATACAAGCCGTGTTAGCTTTATATGCATCAGGAAGAACTACAGGTCTAACTTTTGACTCAGGAGATGGTGTCTCACACACGGTTCCAATCTATGAAGGGTATGCCTTGCCTCATGCTATCATGAGAATTGATTTGGCAGGTAGAGACTTAACGGAATATTTGCAAAAGATTTTGACAGAAAGAGGCTACTCATTTACCACGACTGCTGAAAGAGAAATAGTTAGAGATATTAAAGAAAAACTCTGCTATGTTGCATTAGATTTTGAAGAGGAAATGAAATTAGCCGAAACTTCCTCAGAAATTGAAAAGAGTTATGAATTACCTGATGGCAGAATCTTGACAATAGGCAACGAGCGCTTTAGATGCCCTGAGACATTTTTTAAGCCATTCTTCATTGGAATGGAATCTGGTGCTATTCATGAAACCACCTACAACTCTATAATGAGATGTGATATGGATATTCGTAAGGATCTATACAATAATATTGTATTTTCCGGGGGATCTACTATGTATCCTGGACTGAAGGAAAGACTAGAAAAGGAAATAAGAGCGTTAGCACCCCCAACTATGACAATATCGGTTTTAGCTCCTCCTGAAAGGAAATTTTTGGTTTGGATTGGAGGATCAATCTTAGCATCTCTATCAACCTTTCAATCTATGTGGATAAATAAAGAAGAGTATGATGAAGTTGGGCCTTCTATAGTTCATAGGAAATGTTTTTAAATTATTTATATATTTTTTAAAATTATATTTAATGATAATTTTCATCATAAACTAGCTTTTTAAAATAACGCTTTAATGATATTTGTTTAATGCCATATATACTATGCCAAATAAAATATTCAACTATTTGTAATTTATATATCAAGCTTTATTGGATTTAAATAAACCTTAATTAAGAATATACGGAAGGGCGTGGGGAAGGCTGGCCATTACTAGTGAAGAATTTTCTATGAGTTTACTATGTTAAATGCCTAAATTTTATATTTTTCAGACTTACATTTTTTTGAGGTCTGCATAAAAATCTTTGAATTAAAATAAAGTGATTTTTTCTAAAAATTTTAAAAAATTTCTAAGAATTATAGAAAATATTAAATAAGATATAATATCTAATAAGTATATTATAATTAACTTTATCCCATACCAATAAACTATCATTTTAAATATTGTACGCTTAAAAAAAGATATGAAACATCCTTATTTAAAATATTTTATTATCGATAATTACAATTCAAGGGGATTTAATAACTTAGTAGTCAGTAAAAGTAATTAATTTTTATATAATTTCAAATATTTAGACGTCTGTTTGTTATTTATCATTCCTGCGAAATAAAATAATCTTTCCACCCGCTGATTAAGAAAATATTAAGAGTATTTTAAATTATAATGAAGAAATGTTTCCTAAAAAAATAATACAAAGATTATATTTTTCTTTCAAATAAATGATTAAACCTGATTTAGATTAAGTTATTATATTAAGTTTGCTGGCTTATAATTATTTTAAAAAATTAAACATTTATGGGAGTGCTAGTAAATCTTTGGACACAACCCCTTATGGATTACATCACCTATTTTAGGGATAAAAGTATTTTTTTTAAAAAGTGATCAATACTAATTCTATATAATATTTATTGTTTGAAAATGGCAAGTTGTTCTTTGCGGTCGTAAACGTTGTTATTTAAAAGGTAACGGTGTCACTATTAGGAATAATATACTAAAATAATGCCTACTTTTTAAGTTATTCACTACTTTATATTTAATTTAATTTATTATAACTATATTAATCATTTTTCTGTTTTCTTTATGTTAAAGTTAATTTTTTAATAAATTCTAGAAAATTTTAAAAATTTTTAATAATTAATCCTTTTTTTATTTGAAACCTCTCATATTGAGCATCTTTCTCGCTCGTTGCTCGATTTTTCTGACATACATATTCATCATTCCTTCGCTATTTTTGCACATCAATCAACAGACCTCTCACAGGTGCTTTTGCTTTATTATTGGCAGCATTTTTTTTATTTTTTATACCTATGGCCATTCCCCACGAACGCAGAATCTGCCCATCCTGCATGAAACCAATACATTTGGAGAATTTTTTGTTCATGGACCAATCTCTAACAGGTGTCCGCATTCAAAACACACGCCTCTTTCTCAGATCACTTACTCGCTTCCCCCCCCTCTCATAGATTCTCCCTTAAACCAAGTAATCGGTGCCTCATTCTCAGATATTTTTCTTAATTCCACAAAACCAAGTATCATAACGAAAATACCCAAAGGAGCGAGAATACAAGTAGCTAAATCTCTCAGCAACTGCATATCTTCTCTTTTGCAAAATTTTAACAAAGAAGAAGAATGGTTAAAATTTTTAAACTTTGGGTACAATACTTTCAAAATACCCGACATATCACTCCAAAAATCATTAACTCAACAAATAAAAGATGCCTGTTTAAACATCAACACTCATCTTCATGAGTCCCAAATCTTCAGACATCCCATAAACAAAAAAAAAATAACCCCACTTCAACAAAAAGCCTCATTGATTTCGAAGAAAATTGACAGTCTTAATATCAATGGGGCCCTCAAACTCATTTCAACCAATGACACTCTGGCGGAATCCAATTTAGAAACCTTAATTAAGCTTCGATCAAAGCATCCCACAACAACATTTATGCCAATATTGCCCCAACCCTTCTCCCATTGTGCAGCAGATTTCACACAGGAAGAAGTAAGGAAAGCAATCCTATCTTTTCATCGGGATTCGGCTCATGGTCTAGATGGGATTAGACCAATTTTTTTACAGGACATTACCTCTCCTGTGATCTGTACACAGGTTTCAATTCTCACTAAAATCACAGACTTAGTCAACAAAATCCTAAATGGAGACGTACCCAGCTTTATTACCCCCTTACTATTCGGTGCCAGACTCATCGCACTCCAAAAACCAAACAAGGACATTCGGCCCATCGCCATTGGTTCAACTTACCGTAGATTGGTCGCTAAATTAATCGCATCTAGAATCAAACACGATGCCGCACACATTCTAAGCCCCTATCAACTTGGTGTAGGGATACCTGGTGGGTGTGAAGCTGCTGTGCACTTAACAAGAATTCACCTTGAAAATAACCCAAAAAACGAATCCCTAGTAAAAATTGACTTCTCTAACGCCTACAACACTCTTTCGCGCAACACGTTCCTACATTCAACTTGCTTCCATTTCCCCGCTTATACCAAATTTCTTTTCTCTTGCTACCAATCACCAACAATCTTACAATTCAACAAAGAAAAGATACTTTCTGTCGAGGGTATCCAACAAGGTGACCCTCTCGGATCCCTTCTCTTTAGTCTTGAAATCAATGACATGATAAAATCAATAAACTCTTCATGTACTCTATCGCTCCACGCTTGGTATATTGATGATGGAATCTTGAGTGGTCCCAGTAGTGAAATTGCCAAAGCAGTCACCATAATTAAAGAAATGGGCACAGCCATTGGACTTTCGCTTAACCAGAACAAATCTGAATTCTCACTTTTAAATTCTAATGCTCCCAACACTCACGATTTCAAATTCACATCAAGCGTTGAATTAACACATCTAGGATCGCCTGTAGGAGGACACGAGGCAATAAAGCACCTTTCTTCATTCCACACTCGACATACTCCTTAAACTGGAGGACATTTTTACACTTCTTCCATCACACAAGTCCTTTTTTTTGCTAAAAAATTTCTTTTTTATACCAAGGATTCTTTACGCACTTCGGTCGACACCAATTTTTAAATATCCTATTCCTCTCCAAACTTACGAAAAAGGAATAAAGGACTTAACCGAAAAAATAGTAAATATCAGATTCAACGAAACCGCTTGGGCCCAAGCAACTCTTCCAACCAAATTTGGTGGTCTCGGCATCAGATCTCCACTTGACTTAGCAACAACTACTTTCATATCGAGTAGTCTCTTGACAAAGCCAATAACCACCCCCCATAATTCTAAAGAAGACCTTTCCTTAATCGTGGCTATGGATATTTGGAAAACAAGGATCAATGCTGATTCTCATCCCCCCACAGCCCATAAACAGAAAGACTGGGATGCACCAGTGGTTGCTCGCTGCGTTGAAACTCTCTTATCTAGCATGCAATCTACCGACCGCACCCTATTCTCTTCCTTGCTCAATGGTACGGGACATGAGTTTCTTGAGGCCATCCCATCTACCAATCTTCAGCTTCAACTATCCAACAATGAATGTACCCATGCCATCGGCATTTGTCTAAATTGTTCCATCACTCACCCCCACATCTGCTCAGGGTGCAACTCGCCAGTTGACTCGAAGGGTAGACATAGTTTACATTGTCGCTCCTGCAATGGACGATTCATCAGACACAAGCAATGTAATACAATCATCCAACATGCTCTGAAATCCGCCCAAATTCCTTCCACGTTAGAACCACAGGGTCTTTTTAGATCTGACGGTAAACGTCCTGATGGGATCTCTCAAATCCCATGGAGGAGAGGCCAACTTTTGGTATGGGACTATTCCTGTATTGACCCCTTGGCCCCATCCAACCACGCCATCAACATCCTTGACCAGATGGAACAACTTAAAATTTCTAAATACACAGAAATAATAAACGATCAATGCTTCATCCCAATCATATCAACCACTCTTGGCACCTTCGGAAAACTCGCCTTAGCATTTTTCAAAAACTTAAGATCACAAATCAGCAAACTCTCAGAAGAACCACGAGAGGGTTTTTTTCTTCGTCAACGATTATCCATAGCGATTCACAAAGCTAATTATATCAGTTTCAATGGTAGCCTTCTAGCCAAAGAGCTATCATATACAACGCTTACGTCCCTTTTTCATTTTTGTTTCCCTGCGTCACACCATCTCCGTTCTTTTTTTTAATAGTATTATTATATATTTTTCAAACATTTTTAAATATATTAAAATTTATTATAATGAAAATTTAAATTATTATACCTTATATTGATAATAAACTATATTTTAACATTTAAATAAATATAAAAAAATACAAATAGATATCTTCATTTGATTCCTCTTTCAGCCATTATATTCCTATTTCAACTATTTTTATTGATCTATTGTAAGTCTTCAATTATATTAGAAGAGATTAGTTCTAGTGAGGATGCTATTATATAAATTATCTTATCATAACCTTAAGGGCCAAATAAGTAGAAACTATATTTGGTTCGGTTTCTTTTTTTTTGAGAAAATATATTGATAAAAAAATACAAATCTTGGCAAGATTCTTTCCCAAGATAAGAACAAATCCTTTTTTTTGTAATAAAGAGATACCGGATGACGAGCTATCAAAAATTCTTCCAAAAAAAGAGGCGCATTTTTAGAAAAAGAAAAAATGCCTTATCAATTTCTGAAAACTAAAACCCTGTTTATGAAATATAATATATCTTTCCCATCCTCCGCACCTATTAAACGCGTGTTCAGTAGCCAAAAACAGTGTTGAGTGATAAATGATCTTAAAAACTTTGAAAAACAATTACCTATATAATCGTTATATAAAATAAATTATCAGAATATTTATAACATAATATATTAGTATTATTATATATACTGATTATTTATTTATTTGGATCTTGGATCGATTAATAAAAATAAAGGAAAACAGTTTATTCAATCTTTTCACATATAACAGTTTGATACATTAAAATAAGTTTAGATAAAAAAAAATTTGTAGGTAACGGACGTTACTGTTTTTGCAAAGTAACCTTGAATTCACAGTGGCCCGTTTGCGATCGCGATTTAACAGCTGACAGTTTTGTATAATCTGTTTATAAGATCATTTTTTCTTTATTAAAATCATTATTTCCTAGATTATTATTATGAATTTAATTAAAGATAAAATTAATATTTATAAATGAAAATTCATCTTATTAACAGATTTTAAAAAACGATTAACTGTTAAATCCCCATCGCAATCGCGACACTATGAATTCAATTTGGGATTACTTTTTTAAATAACGTCGATAGCTCTATTATAAATTGATTTTTGTTATAATGAGTGGGTTTTTCATTCATATATTATATAAAATAAACAAAACAAAGAATTTATATTATCGAGTTTTGTTGCTTGTAATCTCGTTTGTATTTAGCTATCTTAGGATTAATTTTAGAATTTATCCAGCTAAGATAAGATGTAAGACATGTATAAACCCCAGGCCTTAAGGGCTCGCCACACTCATAACCCCAAGATGCCACGCCAATCTGCTTGAAAATCGATTCATTGTTGTTGTTTTTAACTTTAACTACCAGTGGACCTCCAGAATCACCCTTGTTTTAATATAAATTACATATCCTTTTATAAAAATATATATATATATATATAACTTTAGATAATTACCAATTAAATCTTACCTAATTTGATCTCTTTAAAATCTAGATGTTAATTTCTAGGAATCTATTTTTTTTTGCTGGACCAATTTTTTTTTGTAATCATTATAATGAGGTAAAGAGCGATTTCGATAATTTGAGCCTAAATATTCTGTCCCTTACATGTTCAAGCAAGACAACCTTTACTTTACATAGTATTTAAAAAAATCTAACATTCTTCTAAAAAAAATACACGAAAAATAATTCTCTCCAGTAAATTTTTTTTTAATTCTCGAAAATAATCACCCCTCCTCCCTCCTTCTCAAACAAATTAAATTTAGGGTTTTTCCTCAGGGAATTTTTTCCCTTTACCATTAATTTTATGGTGTGATATTGTTAAATATTTTTATATAATATAATTATTACAGGATTTTTATTTATATAATTTAAAACATCCTTTTTTTCTTACAAGTTATAAGCTAAAAAGAGACCGTTATATAAAATAAAATAGTATAATTAATTATTATTAATTTTTCTAAATTAATTTTTAAAATAATAATTTAAGAGCCATATTAAAATACCTTTTTTTAAAAAATAAAGCTACAATAATTCTTAATGCTAACTGTGTCAATATTGATTAAAAAAATTGAAAGCTTCTTGTCTCATTTTTTGGCTTGTTATTAAGACTATTTCAAGGCAGTTCATAGTTAATTTAAATTTAAGAAAAACTTAGTATTACAGCGCAACTATCCTTTTTGCCTCGTAAATAACCGGCGCATATATAAGATGTTTGAAAGTTCTCGTTATTGTACATCTTTCTACATTCAGTGTTGTTGACAATAGGTACAGTAGCCTTTCTCAATGTATTGGAGGTAGAGGATAAAACTATAAATTATGGAAAAATTTTTTTATATGATTTAAAGTTATCTTACAATTATTATTCCGATATTTTCCCCAACCGGCAATGTAGCCCTCATAACCATGGTATTCATTGCAAGATTCATTGAAAGTTGGTAAACAAGCAAAATTGATCCGTCCTTCCCTATTTGGAATGAACACTTTATCCAATTCGATAAGTGCTACAAAAGAATTATTTAATGATTATGTTTTAAAATATAATTTTAAAATCTGTTTATTTAAATTAATTTCAAAAGAAACTTATTACTTTTTATAATAAATTTTTTGAAAATATTAAAGATTATACTCTATTATTTACTACCTATATCATTAAACAACTCTTCTAGATCAAAATTTTGGTGCAAAATTATATTTTCGGCTGTGTAACGCCTTTCGTAATTGGTGTTCTTAGTGAGATCGAAAGCACCCAATAATATTTGATTGCGATTATCCCAACTATATTATAAAATAAATTATATAACGTAAGACTTTACTGTTTCAATTGTTTAATCTTAAAAGTATGAAATCAAGGTAAATAAGTTTTCTTATTATTTATAATTTAGGGACATTTCATTAAAGTTTAGAAAATATTTTAGCCGCATTAAAATCTAGGAACGACGCATGGCTTAGTCATGTTCCTTTGGTGTTTTTTTTAAAATACATAGAATATATTATGTTATCGACAATGTGCATATTCAGACAATCTGTGTAGTATATCTCATAAAAATTGTCTGAAATTTATAAGGTACATCCCATCACTGTGGTATCCACGATTTTCATAAAGGGGGAGGGGGAGGGGATTTTTTTAAATCATAAATTTATTGGACATTTTTAGATTTCCCTCTTTGAAAAACTTTGGTTAGATTACATTTCTTTTTATTAACTTAAGATATTATTATGAAAACCACCTAATGGGTGAATGAGGGAATTTTCCGTGAATACATTTCAGGCAAAATCATTTAAAACATGCCAAATAAATAATTTAAGTTGAAAAAATAACAAAATACTGTGCTGAGTGCGTTTTCCGAAATTTAAAGATCTGATTTGACCAAAAATGTTTTCCAATATTATGTAAAATACATATATTCTATAAATTTCGGATAAATTGATCATCAACTTTTACGCTTTTAATTTATATTTTAAAATGGCGCTATGTTTTTCATAAGTATGCTAGCTAAAACAAGTAATCAACTTGTTTATTTCTAGCCCTTTTTTGCCTGGTGTTCCTATATCGGAAACTTTATTTCTTTGGTCTGGAATAGTTTCTATTTAGTATTTTAATTTAATTCCCCCCCCCCTTAGTTGACAGATCCTTTTTTACATATTTATTAGCTGTTAAATTTTATTTAAATATTTATTTTTAATAATTCCTGATTTGTATTAAGTCCATTTTGTTAAAAAAAAATTGGTTAAATTATTTTTTTTAAAAATAATTTTTAGACATTATTTAATTAATAATATTTCTCAGTTTTTGTTTTTCTTAATTTACGTTGAATAATTAATTTTATATTTTAAGTTCCGATATTAGAGCACCGGGAACTCAAACGAGTTGTAATTATTTTTCAATTTCTTGGAATATTGACTAATTTTTATCATAATTATATCATGCAATATTGTCTAATTTTTAATATAATTTTTAAATTTCATGCAATATTGTCTAATTTTTAAGATAATTTATAAATTTTAGAATATTATTAGACTTATGAAGTAAGAAATCACATAAATAATTATAAAATATATTATAATTATTTATTAAACATTTATTTAGCCATTATAACATTGAAAAATTGCTGTTATATTGGAGAATAAAGGTTTTCAAACAGCATCTATTTATTTTTAGCTATCTGGTGATAGAAATCATTAAATTACACAATATCCCCAATTCTCTCTTTCTTCAAAGTCAATCACAGATTTATTTTAACCTGCAGAAAATTTAAGAAAATATTTTGATCATAAATTTTTCAGTTGCTATTTTATTTCTTGAAATACAGAAATAACCCTTAATTAGGGGGGGGGGGGGAGGTGACTTAAATCTTTAAATGAATTATAGTACAAAGTCCCAGAGAATGTAAGGTATGATATAATGGATTATCGGAGTATTATATCTGGTATATATTTAATTTCGAATAACAAATTTTTACTTTTTCACGCAATGACCAGCAGTTAGTACAAATTTAGGATGTATCAAAGATCCATGACAAAATGGAGTTCCCCGATTGTTTAGGAAAACGGCCTATAATAAAATAATTTAATTAATAAATATAAAATGTTTTACCATAGTTTAAATACTAAAGAGAAAATTCTTTAAAAGACAAATTGCAATTGAAAAATACCAAATTAAAATGATCCGTGAATGAAGCTGTTGAACCCTTGACTATGCGAGGTTTGAGTCTTCGTTCCTTTGGATTCATCCCGCAATGATCTTTTAAATCTAAAATTAAGCAGATATATAATTTTTTTTTTTTGTAATTTTTTTTTAGATATACTATTTTGTCTCAATTTAAAAAAAACGGCCACCTTAATTTTTTTCGATATATCATTATTTTAAAAAAATAAAAAAAAAATATGAAGGCGTTAATATTTATATAGTATACAATCTTTTATGCATATTTTAAAAAAAATCATCTTCCATCTATCTCAGAATTATGACGTGATTAAAAAGTGACCGTTCCTATTTTTTTTTAAACTGGACACTTTTTAAAAAATTACGGTATATCAACGAAATCGAAAAAATTATAAGTGATTCAAGGATATTAAACAATTACTTGGTCATTCTTGAAAATGTTTTTACCTAATCGATTGGCCAGACACGGATTGGTCCGTGTAAAGCCCTTTTGAGATCCGATTCGCTCCAAAATAAATTTCAAATCAAGATCTGAATCCGACCGAGTCGAGAAAAATTTCTGTACTAGTTCGAAAAAATTTCAAAAAATTCCCATCAGATCTATCCGACTTCAGTTGGATCTGACTCTGATGGTCAGTGTAAGAACTCTAACTATTGAAATTGTTTTTAATAAACTATTTGCAATTGTAAACATATTGCTCAAATAATGCAATATTCTAAATTTTTGTTAATTTGTTCATTCCTACTCGTATAGAGGTGCTTCAAAGGGAGATCTTTGACCTTCCCGAAATTTTTTCCATTTAAAAACCTTATCTTAACTTATAAAATAAGATTTTATTAAAATATTAAAAAAACTTATGTGATATTTTACTTGTATTGGGAAGTAGTGTTGTTAAACGGCTCGGCCGATTTTTAAAAATGGCTAACTCAATATTTTAACCCGAAAAAGATTGCCTGAACCTCAAGATTAGGCTAATAGATGTCTAAACCTTTATGCCATCTATGAACAAAATATTTAGGCTTGCATAATATTTTTTTGGATAAAATATTGAGCTCGCGGTTTTTAAAATCGGCTCAAATTGAGCCGTCTAACAACATTAAATGGAAGGATTCAGAAGATGATTTATCCATTTTATAAGCTCTATGTTTCGCCTTTTTCAAAAGATCAAAATTATAATCTTCGATGAATAAAAAGATTGGACAATTATACATTTAAATTAGACTTCCGAAAATAAGAATCAACTTAGTAAAGCGATTAACTAGAATTTAATGGAGAATAAAATAGCTAGTTAATAATTTCGTATTGAAAAAGAAAAAGAGAGGTTTAAACGGGCTGAAAAATTCCCTAAAAGTATAATTATAGACATTATATGACTAAAAAAGGTGGGGGGGGGGCTGGCTTTAAAGTTTGCATTGTTATTTTAAGCTGCCCAGAAATACTCCATTCAGTAGTTTATATCAACAAATAGGTCCTTTACCGCAGATGAATCGCTTTTCAAAATAAAAGAATAGGGCCCTATGTCACTTATTATAATTCGCGAAAATTGAGTTATAAAATGAAGGTATTGGAAAAGGCAGATTTGCAGATAAATATTCAACATTAACTCTTTTTAGAATAATTCAGATCATTTATGCGAACAGTGACATAATCAAATCTTAAAGCTCATAAAAATAATTTATAAATGTGGTCGTCATTTTTTTGTTATATTTAAACATGTATTCCGATAGTTCTGAATTGGTTAAAGGAAAATAAAAACTTAAAAATTTTTTTTTATATAAATAAATTGTTGTATACTGCTATAACTTCCTCTTATAAACTCATCTAGAAAAATTATCAAATTGTCGGTTAGGATAAAACTGAAAATATTTTGAGGAAACTGTGAGACAAATTATGAGAGACAATTTTCCGAATTTTTTTAGGCAAATGATTTTGAGACTAGACAGAGAGCCAAATACTTAATAATATTTACTTAATTTGTTTGGCAAATAGGTGTTACAAAATAAAATGTTTATTATGGGTTTTTTTATCGTTTTAAAATTATATAGAAATAAAATAAAGAGTTTGCCATATTTTTAAAATATTAATATGTTTGGATCTATTTTTGTTCTAAAAATTAAATTATTGTTCGCCTTAATAATTCAGAATTATACATGTTTATAACAATACTCAGTAATGTTCCCCAAAAATATAAATATTTAAATAATAAAACTATATACTATATTTCGCTTGATAAGATAATTTAATAAATATAACTCATGTTTTTAAATAAAAATTTTAAAGCCTCTTATTATTGGCGTGTAAGGGGTAAGAGAATAGGTTAATCTAAACTCGACATTACTGACCCTGGTTAGGATTTCGTATGGGGAAATTATTTTATTTTATTTTGGATCAAAGGTTTTCAATTAAAGTTATTGTTTTATATTTTATTTTTAAACTTTGCTGTCCTATCTTGCAAAGAATTTACATAATATGATAAACGTATAGTGTATTTCAATAAGCACTACAAAAAACAATAATGTAATATACCTTGTAATGCGATGGTTTTCCAAAATTGCTGCACATCTGAATACGGATTTAGGTACAATACTAAAAAATTGAAGAAAGTATTTTTATAAAAAAATTTTAGTTTTGTTTTTCTTTGGATTGGAATAACTCTTATCTCTTAAGCAGGCGATCTTTTTAAACTTTTATATAATGAAATCATTATGATCTTTATGCATAAAAAAATTTATAATAAATAAAATCACGATTGATCTTCAGAGATTTTTCACAAAATTTTGGGAGAAAAAAATTTCAAATGTTTATTTAAAGATTGTTGTTAAACTCTGATTCATATTCATAAAATGCATTGTTTAAAAATTCAAAAATTTATATCAGGAGGATGTATCTAGAGGAAGGCTAATTAAGATTCCTCTCCCACCTTTACGACCCTATATGTGACTTAGTGAAAAATGAGCAGTAAATGATATCATTTTAAATTATTATTATTGATTTAAATATATGAGATATAGATAGATAGAATAAATTTATTGGTCATAATTAATAAAATTTAGGTTATACCCCGGGGCGTTGTGTAAGGGAAAAGTGTAACGAACTGCACCAGAAAACACAGTATAATCATATAAGGACGTTTTCCCAATCGAATATTTTCTGGATTGTTTGAATTATTGACATTTTATTTAGAGTCGTTAAGAAATCTTTTTTTTAAGTATAAATTATATAAGAATACGTATATCCTATCTATATTGTAAATATTAGAATTTCTTTTGTAATGGCAGCATACCACATTAATAAAACATCAAAATTGGCATTTTAAATTCTTTAACAAGAATAATAATTACAAATTTTATCTTACTAATTAATTCAGTTTGAACAATTTTTAAATATCTTTTTAAACCTTTCAAATGAAAGTTAAGTAGGAGATTCATGACCTAAAGAAAAAACTTAATACTTTAAGGCATAGTTGTTAAGGAGCGGCGCTCCTGGAGAGCAGCTACATTTTCTCAAAAACAGCTGGAGCGCCCCTCTTTTTTAAAAATGAGGAGCGGGAGCGGGAGTAGCTCCTTTTAAGGTTGGAGCGGAAGAGCGCCGCTCCACCGCTCCTTTAAATTTAATATATAAATTATATTATTTTTTAAATATTAATAAAATTTGTTATTTAAAATTTAATGAAAATAAAATTTTATTTTATTTAAATTTATTCATTATTAAATGTTGAGCCGAGTTTTTTATTGATTTTTCATCTAAGTCAATCTTTGTGGAATAAACAAAATATGTCTACAAATATGGCGGACGATATTATCTGAAAGTTGGGTAGGTATCTAATATGCCCAAATTCCACTAGGTGGAATTCGTATTATGAGTCTATGGTTTTGCTAGATAAAATATTAGATGAAAAACAAAAGGACCTTGATGAGTTGTGTGATAAACATGGGCTTATACGTTTTAACTCCCAAGAACATAAATTTATTAAAGAGTATAGTCAAGTAAATATTAATATAATCGTTATTTTAGTGAAATAAATAAATTTTAGGTTATGGAGCCTATGAAAAAAGCTCTAAAAATCCTTGAAGGGGAACTTCATATGGACATGGGTTTCCTAAGTCCAACCATTTCTAAACTTATTTCAAAATTAAACGAATTAACAGATTTAGAGTTTTGCCAACCTCTTGTAAACTCTCTTTAAGCGGTATTAATAAAAGGTTTATAATAAAAAATAAATTATATCTATTTAAATAACTTTATTGCAGATTTTCAAATATTTATAATGATGATAATATCATTGCAGCGATTGTCCATCCTGCATTCAAATTGAATTGGGAATGATAAAAAATCCAAAAAATATGGAACTAAAAGTCAGATTAATTAATTTTTTAAGGAAACAAATACCCGACGGAAAAATAGCTACTACTAGTTCACGGGAACCTTGCAATGATTTGGAAGATTTCTTTGGATTCCATGAAATTGATCACCATGAAGATAATATATTGGATAGATATTTTTTAAATAATGATAGCAAAATTACTATTTTTGAACAATTCCCTGAATTAAAAAATATTTATATAAAATACAATACCCCGCTTCCCTCTAGTGCTCCTGTGGAGCGCCTATTTAGTATTGCAAAACAGGTCTTAGGGGAGAGGCGTGGGTGTTTGGTAGATTCTAATTTAGAAAATTTATTACTTTTAAAAGCTAATAAAAGATTATAAATATTTTGATATATCATATAATATAAATAAAACGTTTTGATAAAAAAATATGATTTTGTTTCGTGTACCATCTAAAAAAATGAAAATCAAAGGAGCGGTTATGAAGCGGCACTCCATTAGTTGGAGCGGGAGCGCTCCTTTTAATAGGTAGTAGCGGGAGCGGGAGCTCGCTACTTTTAAAAAGGAGCGTTAACAACTCTGCTTTAAGGGGTGAGGGTGGGGGGAATAAATTTTTAAAAAACTATAACGACCCGGTCTGGGCTTAGCAAACAATAATTGGACCTGATCGGATAACTTGTGCAAAAATTCTTAAAGGGCCGAAACAGATCAGGCTTTTCAGACCTCTAGTTCGGGCCTCTATAACACCATGATTAATAATTGCAATTTTTAGAGGTAATAAAATAACTTATTTTTTCAATGTATTCATTATAAATTATTCCATATTTTGGCTTACAAAATATAATTTATTTATTTTTTTCAAAATATAAAAAATCGTTCTTATGGCAAATGATTAGGATATTATGCGTAGTTAGCAATTAAATTTATTATAGAGGGTTTTTTTTAAAAAAAATTTTTTTAACGAAAGGGCAGAATCGAACCTAAACAATTTAATCAACTTAACTTTAAAAAAGGTTTATTAAAAACATGTGAAAGTAAAAATATTTAATATTTAAACATATAAGTTTTAAAATATATAAATATTTTAATCACTACTTGAAATTTGTAAAGAATATCATAAATCATGCCGGGGCCATGGCTACAATGTTTTGAATTAAGATTACAAAAATTTCCAGAAGATTTAATTTATTTATTTTAAAAAATTGCTCTATACAAAAAAAATACCTTGAAAAATATATGATAAAATTTTATTTATTTTCTAAAATCTAAACTTGTTCAAATAAATTAACATTTGATTAAATATATATTTTTTTTATTTCAAAAATATAACAAATAAAAATTTGATTTTTTTTAAACATACTTATTTTTATATTATATTTACCTGTAAAAATATAAATAAATATTTATTTCTGACTATATATATATATCTGAAATGAAACGAAAAACGTTTTATAATAAAAAAAAAAGGGATGAATATTTTGGGTTGTTTGTGTACTACAGCCTCACTGGACGATAGTCATAAACATTACATAAGAATAATATTTTGGAGATGATAATATATAATTTAGAGGTCTTTAAAGCCCGACCGGTAATTTTTAAAAAATCCTTGTCCGATCTGCGGGCCGCATTATGTGGCTTTCGCACAGGCTAGATGTAGTTCTCCAGATCTCTTTTCGAATTTCATAACATATCCCTTTTTATTCCTTATTCATAAGCATAATAAGAAAAATAACCCTGATCAAAATAATTCAGAGTCACATAATATTTTCCACATATAATATGGACTCAGTTTATCGAAAATACATAATTTTACTTGATATAATATCAAATCTTTAGTTTAGATTTCAAAATTAATATTTACAAAAGTGGTCATCTTAATTTTTTTTTCAGGGTATACATTATTTTTTGATAAAAACAAAAAAGAGATGAAAGACCTATAAATTTTTTTTTTAATTTTTTTTTATTACTTTATAGTATAACAATCTTCTGCGTGATAAAAAATTCTGAAACAATTTCCCTCCAGTCATTTTAGAATTATATTTATTACTAGGGCGTGATTCAATGGCAATTGTTTTTAAAAATCCATTTGCTATTATAATAATTAAATATTTAACCTAATGTAACGTGATGTTGATATGATATTAAACGAACCAAAATTGGCTATGATAATAAAGCCCAATTTAAAGGAATGGCGGGGAAGTTTAGAGGTAAATTCTCATCCCCGCGACTGAGACATGCACGGTATCGAATTATAACAGACGGATATTTTTGTCTGAAACAAAATTCTTGCACCCTAAGTAAAAGAGAATAGGATTGAAGATTTGGAGTGATATGGGATTATATAGAAATGGCATAAAATTTGGTCGTTGTTTAATAAATTTCTATACATTGATGGTTGCTATATTTTACATAACTCATTTTTATCTACCATATATGTTGAAAGATTATATTGAAATTTTGCCCTTCGTAATCATGTAACCCCAGATAGTTATACGGAAATTTCGTAGCCCGAAATTAGAAAAAAGTTAAAGGACACAAACCATATCAATTAGAATAAATATTTATTATTATTTTTTTTACTTTTATTTTATTTATTTATTTTTTTTAAGAAATCGGCTATGTTTTTAAAGTTATTTTATCATTATTGGCAGATAAGATATTTTATTACCAATATTACGAAAACAGTTTAAGTAAATATTTGTCCCTTTAAAATCGTGAAATATATTAATGAATGTTTTCTTTCAAATAATTTATATGATATATAAACAATAATGAAACAGGGCTGGAACCCATACATAATTGGTTTGTCTCAAGATCAAAAATAATATGTCGTGGTTTCAACCATGTGCATACTGTATACTATAAATTTCAGACAATATTGTCAAAAAATTAGGGTTAACTTTTTATTGATATACAACATTTTATCGTAATTTAAAATTAAAATACTTTCAACTTTGTAGAGATTACTTGGAAGATATTTGAAAATCATGTTATTTTTTTAAGATATCAATTCATGGTATCGTCAAAATGTTTTTTTACATCTAAATAAAAAGAAATTTTCGCTATCATTTCTTTTAAACATTTGTGTTTGTAATTTATAATCTAAAAAAAAATCAAGGGTTATGCTTTTGAATATTATTTTCGATTTTCATTACCTTACAAAACCCTCATCTAGTAAGAATTTTCTTTCTAGGTAATATATTACAAACCTTTATTCTCACTTAATCAAATAAGATTTATAAAATAGTATAATAAAATGATTTAATGATTTAATGAGTTTAAATTTTTATTCTAATTCATCGACACAGAATATGAAACAGGTTTAGTTAGATCGAATTATATTAATTGTAATTCTTTGTCTAAGGTAAAATCCTTCGTTTGTATTTTCGGAATTCAATATAATGCGATGCCCTGGAATCTTGAAGAAGCCTATGGTGTGAGTGCCAGAAGTTAACATTGTGTCAATTATTGTAAATAGTTCTTCGTTTTACGTCGATATAGCATCATGGTTTAAAGGGTGCGAGTGGATCTACAGAGTAAAGATTCCAGATTAAGAACTTATCACTCTTCCATAGATTGCATAAACCATCAGTACGTTTACCATCTTGCGTTAAAAAGTCCGGTGCTAAAGTGAAGGAATTCCATCAAATTTCAAGGCACGCGATATAGATCATTAAATTTTATATATCTTAGAAATCTACCTATACTTTTGCAATGTGGGGGGTGGCGACCTTTTGAGTCAACAAGAGTCTGAACAAGTGAACATGAGTATGGTATACCACATCTCAATTAGGTCTGAGTCTGATGGTACGCCGTGCGTAATTGTTTGTAAATAGTAAATCAAGATTACTTGTAGGGAGAGTGCAAGAATTCACTACGTTTCCCATGAAGTTGAAAAGAAAAGAAAATGTTTCACAGGTTGACTTCTCGATTTAAGAAATGCAAGTTACCAACCAAGGGTAAATCCCAATTTTCTGCAATGACCTTGATATAGGATTGACCAGGGAAGATTACTTCAAAGGATTGATGACCTGAAAGATTATAAGATCTGGTTTATTTGTTAATTTGCTGATGATTGGTTCACATGATAAACGCGAAGATTTGACTCTGGCGGAGAGTAGGGAAGGTGATCGTATTACTATTCCACTTTCTTTAGTGGGTAGAATGACCTACAGTCAACATAATTCTCTAAACTTAAGATTGACTATTTGTTCGGTGAATATTTTGATCTTTTAGTCATAGTTAGCAAGAATGGAAGGAAATTGAAAAATGGGTGTTGATAGTAAAAGAATTTTAGGAATTACAGGGTAATTCATAAGCAGGAAAAGTACTGGTGTGCGGGTAGATGCAGTAAGATCTCAAGCATTTGTATAAGATCTTTTGACGTCTCTGCAAAAATTTTAAAGAAGGAGTCTTCATTGCTTAAAGGTGACTCTAGATATGTGAGATATCTTTATCAGTACGGTTTACCCTGAAATTATTTTGAACAATGCTTTTTAGGGGTCAGTATACACTCTTTAGAGGATTTATTTTTAGACCTATGTCATATAATTTTAATATGTATATCGTCATGTTGTCTTGGTCGGGTAAGGCGGCTATTATTCCATCATCAATATACCATGAGTGTAAATCAAACTTACATTAGGTATTGATGTTCCCTATTATTTTATCTAATCTAAGATGTTTAAAAGAAAATATAGTTGAAAATATTTTTTTATTTGAATGAAAATAAAAAAATTTGAGACATTATGAAATTGATAACTTAAAAATAGCATGATTTAGAATCTAAATTTTCTGCACAATAAAAAGTACTTAATATATACTCTATGCTGTCATTAACGGAAATTTCTGAAAAACCTTTCAACTAAATTTAGGTATATTTCTTATTCACTCCTTATTAAAATAAGGAGGAAATTCATGATTTTCCTGTCATTAAATAGTGGAGAATATTTTGATTTACCCTCATTCTTGATAGGCTATTTGCTTATATACATATGATTAGTCATTACTCAAATCAAATCCGAAAATACTAGTTAATTAATTACATTACGGTTAGCTCCAGCATTATGTTGCTCCTCTCGGCATAACAACTAAGCTCTATCGCACTTCCCCTTTGTTGATTTTCTAAAATAATCGCACGTGGATGACAACCTCCGCAAAGCAATCATCATTATTTTACAAGTTTTCACAAAAGTAAACATACCTTCGACTGTGGAACCTGTAAATGTCCTCAATGAACGTTTTAAAGATACCTCACTACTTTAGTATAACTGCTTTTCCCTAGCCTCGGACTACATTTTTATTGATTTCTCAACCAAATCAAATAATTATGACCTTGCTTTGACTCGCACTGATAGTTTATAAACAAATACTCCGACCTTCAAAATAAAACTCTCATGCCCATAGTTATACCAACACCTTGAGAATCTTTTAGGACGAGTAAAGCCTTGAAAAATAATAACTATTGATGGTAATCCAAGCAAGGGCTTTATCAACGACTTAAAGAATGTCAATCTAATTTCCTGAGCAACGACTCCTCTCTTAGATGCCCTCGTACCTTTTTTTAAAATTATTTATTTCGTTTCTTTTTGTAATTCATTATTTTGGTCATCTCTTTTCGAATTTTTTTTTTGCCATTCCTTTTTAAGAATTATTTTTTTTATATATACACTCATAATTCTTATATCTATACAATATATTTGTTTTTCTATTTTTTATTCAAGTCATAAATATGCATATCAGAGGTCTACAATGGGTTGGTTTCAAACATTAAGCAGGTGAGTGGGCGATTAAAAATATATTTTAAAAAATGGGCTGGTGAATTCTAAATAACTTCCAGGCGATAGAAAGACCGGGCTTATATTTATTAAAAAAATACTTTCTTTATTTCATATTACTGCATATTTTAAAAATAAAGTATAATTAAAGAGCTAAAACCAATCAAATAATTTATAAACAGTTAAAAGGCGGGCGAGAAATTAATGAAGGAAATTTTTTTTTTAAATTTTATATACTGGCAAGTTATATTTTTAAAAAATAATATGCAAGTGGGGGGACTTAAATCTTTTTTAATTGAAATAGATAAAAAAAACATCAATTATGTTTATTAAAATAAATAGGATTTAATAGCCTGAAGAATTTTAGTTTATACATTTACTTAAGATGACCTAAAACAAGCTGCCAACATTTTTAGGTGAAAAAAAAATTTATAAATTAAAATATTTACTTTTAATTTTCCGCAATAACAGAGGAAACGAAAATTACAATTTAAAAATAAAAGATGAATGTCAATAGGTTAAATTCTATAGAAGAACTTTTAAACCAGCAAGCTGAATTTTTTTCGCATAAAATTGATTCGTTAGCGTTCGCAATATGCATGGACAAGATTGACCCTCTGGCTAAATTTCAGGATAAATTCCACATTCCAACAGTGAGTGATGTTTTGGAAGGAGGTATATTTCTGAATTTTAAAATATTTAAATAATAGAAACATTTGAAAGGAGGGTGGGAGGGGGGTCAAATGCCCTTTGGCCCTCTCTCTAAATTTACCACTGAAAAAATAAAACCCTAGAAAGTTTTTTTAAATTTGTCTTGTTTAAAACTTTCATTATAAAATATTAATTTGTTTCTCTATATATACATATGAGAAATATATAATTGTTATAAAACTAAAAAGTATTACATAATTCGAACCAAAATAATTTTAAGAAAAACATAATAGGTTCCTAAAAAGGAAAATTAGCGTTTATGTTTATTTGTATGTTCTGATTAATGTGTTTCTTTTTAGGAACCCAATTATATTTTTCTTAAAATCATATTGGCTCGATTTTTATTTATTTAGCTTCTCATAATGATTTTTAATTTTATACAACTTTTTATATATCTTACATTAGAAACAAATTAATATTTTATAATGAAAGTTATAAATAAATATAAAATTCAAATTTGTTTGGTTTGAACAAATAGTATATCCTGGAATTTGTGCATATAATTATTTTTCTGAACTCTATAATATAACTAGTTATGATCACGGTCCGATCATTAGTTCCAACAAACTGTTCCAACAAACTGAAGCAAGACCGAACTCGTCACGGTCATCAAAAAAAATACAGGCGCAGACCTAAAAAGACCGATCTATATATCACTTTCTTTAATATTTTGAGAATATTTGTTGAGCGCGGGGACATGTTCAATTATATTCGTTATTTGTGGTTTTGAGATTTTATTAAAATTTATATATTATTTAGGTAAATTAATAATTTGGACTGTAATCGCTTAAAACCCATGCATGATAGAGATAATCCTGATTTTTAGAGAAAGTCCAGTCTAGTTGTGGACTTGTTTACCTATTATATTATGATTTAAAAAAATGGCATATTTTGGTTGTCATTTCTTTTTAAAAAAAGGCAATGTCACTACTAACTAAATTTTGCTATTCTAATAAAATTAACTAAGCTTATTGATCTATTCGAAAAAAATATCTACTCTTTAGCATTATGAAATTGGCGTATTTTATATTTTAATTTCAATTATACTTTAGTTGGAATTGATAAAAATGCGCTCAAGAATAACACCGAATCAGATGATACGGCCATCTATTTTAATGGAAATTCGTTGGGATTGCAAAGCAAATTATCTGAAGAATACTTGAATAGTGAAATGGAAAAATGGGCAAAATGGTTATAGAGATTTAATAATTAATTTAAAAATTGGAAAGTTACCTACAAACATCTATTCCGCTTCCAATGTTTGTTATGTTATAACCCTTGGACTTATTTGGGAGAGGGGGGGGGGGGGGTATAAAAGGACATTTACCTCTTTGTAAATTTGTTTGCTATTTGGGTCATTATTTTAGTTTTTTGATTTAAGGAAATATATATTTAAAGTTTGTTATATCTCACTGTCTTTCTACTAGGGATAAAAAAAAGGTTTAAAAAATGAGCCTTTGTTATTTATGTCCGTAGTTTCAAATATATTGTTTTTATTTATAAACGGTATTCAAAATTTTGTCCACATGAAACAAATTTAGGATAGCTATGAAACTCTCCTTCTAGCGCATAAAAAAATATAGTATTTTTTTTTGCATTTGATTAAATTAACGATTTTTCTCAAAATATTTAAGGTCTTAAATATTTTTTTAGGGGATCCATAGGATACTTCAAATCTAGGAGCCAAAATGATTTAATGTGGTCTCGCAGCGAAGATCACTTGAAAGAGGGGTGCGCAGACCTCATCGGTATAATTTATCTCAATAAATTTGTTTCAAATAAAACAATTTTAAGGTGCCAAAAAAGATGACGTAGCCTGCTTGAATTCGGTTACCGTTAATTTGCACCTCTTATTTGTAAATGAACAATTTACACTAAAATTAATGTTTTAAATTATTATATATATTTCATTATATGATATTAAATTGTTGAAACAATTTTCTTAATTGCATATATTCATAAAATGTTGATTTGCTAAAATTTTGTTTTAATTTTTTTTTTTTTGATTTAGATATCATTTTACAGACCAACGAAAGAGAGGTTTATGATTTTGATGGAAGATAAGGCATTTCCATCAGATTTTTATGCAGTTGAATCTCAAATTCGGCTGAAAGGATATGATCCTAAACATACCTTGATATGTTTGAAACCAAGAGAGGTATTATTTTTTAAAAAAGTTGATACAATTATAAAAATTCTTTAATGAAAGGGCGAACACTGTCTTAGAAATGATGACATTATCGAAAATATTAAGAATCTTGGGAACAAAATAGCGCTGGTATTTTTAAGCTCTGTGCATTATTACACTGGAGCACTTTTAGATATGGAAACCATTACCACTGCTGGAAAAATAATGGTATAGTATATGCAATAAAAATTTTACCTTATAAGCGATAAATAAAATATTATTAATATATTATATTAAATAAGGGATGCTATGTAGGATGGAATTTAACTCATGGAATCGGTAACGTTAAAATGAATATAAATGATTGGAATGTAGATTTTGCGATATGGTCTTCTTATAAGGTATATTATATATATATTATATTGAATTAATACAAATATAAAGATAAAATTTTTAAGTTATAGCTTTATAATTTAATGAATACTCATTATTTTAATGCCCTGAGTTATCAACTTTAAAAAATAAGTAATAACCACGAATATGGCCAAAATAAATTAAGCTATGTTATGACCTCTTAATAATTATATAATAGCTATTATTATAGATAAAATTTTATCGTTACAATAAAAAAAATTTTTAGAAAAATTCAATAAATATTTTAATATATCATAAACATATTTAAAATTAGTATTTAAATGGAGGTCCAGGGTGCATCGCTGGAATGTATGTTAACGAAAAATATAAACACAATGATTTCCCTAAACTTTTAGGATGGTTTGGTCATAAATATGAAACACGTTTTATAATGAATAATGGTGATATATTGAATAATTTAAAAAAATATATAGTATATATTTTTATTTATATATTTGTAGTATTCGACCCTGAACCTAGTCCAGATATCTATAAAATAAGTAATAGTCCAGCCTTATATGTTAGTTTGTTAAGAGCATCGCTTAAAGTTAAAACTTGCTATCTTTTATTAAACCACTATTTTAGATATTTCAAGAAGCTACTATGGATAAAATTGTCGAAAAATCTTATTTATTAACAGGGTATTTATACTATCTCCTCAAAACATCTTCTTTTTATAAAGTATGTTATCTATAGAAATGTTTTAAAAAAATTATATGTTTTTATTTATCTCCTCTTAATTCCTTTTTGGATAAATTCAAATATTTGCATTTCCTATGAGTCATATATATTGTTATGACGATTAAAAGTTACATTATCGCGGACTGGACCACTGAATCCCGAATGATATATAGTTGGGCATAGATTCCTTCAGGTGGATCCGATTGGTCTGTTATTTTTAAGCGAAGTTGATCTCATTCGTTCTATAAATAATAGATCGAAATTAGACTTTGTCAGACTTTCGATCAGATCTCGTGGAACAAAAAAAATCTCGGAATGAGCTGGAGCTCTACTATAATGCTGAATTTTTTTTCTCTTTCAAAATCTCTCGTTAACATTTGGTACATAAGATATTTATTCCTTTATATTTCAGTAGAATTTTTATTTCATTAGGAGAGATGGGGACATATTAAGCCCATGGGTAATAGCTAGATATGGCTTTTTTCTAAAGTATTAAACTCTAGGACTAATTTTTTTTAATGTAGAATTTTTATACGAATTAAATGTTTTTAATCTGTAAAAATAACTTTATATTTTTTTTAAAAATAAAAATTTATGAATGGTTTCATCACCCAAGGAACTATATAATGGAATGTAGAGGTGGGGGGGGGGGAGCTATGTTATAAAATATTAATTTTCTAAAATAAAATAGGTATTATAAATACTTTAAATATGGATTTTCAAGAAATTTTATAATATGCCCAGAAATTATCATTTAAAATTTTTACATATTAACTTTTGGTTCTCACAACATCCCCCATGCTTAAATTCGCTTTTTTCTAATAAAAATTTCCTTGAAAAATGAAATTATGAAAAAGGAATTAGATATATTTTTTTACAATTCAAATTTCTTATTATAGAGAGGAAGGTACTTTTATTTTTATCACAACTTGCCTAGTTGGGCTAATAATAACTCCGACCTCCTCTTAATATGCTAAACAATGTTATACAAATATATCCTAGAAATATTTTGAAATTATAACGCCTGAAGACCCTTCGAAAAGAGGAAATCAATTATCAATTCTCTTCAATTCCTTCCTTGACGTCAAAATGATCTATAAGGAATTGACAAATAATGGCGTCGTGGTAAGTACCTCTTACTAGTGGTGTTAAACGGCTCGATTTAGGTCAATTTTAAAAGCGGTCAGGTAAGATTTTAGCCAAAATAACATTTAAGCCTGAAGGGCTCATAGGTGGCCGAGATGTTTTAACTTCTATTTGCCATATCTCGATGCTTATATAATATTATTTTGGCAAAAATCTCAATCGGGCCGTTTTTAGAAATCGGACCGTTTAACAATACTACCTATTACAAATTTTTATATTGATAAGTTATTTTAAACTTCAATAATATTAATATTTTAGAAAAAAATATATATATGAACAGTTTTTTCTAATAAGATGAAATAACTTCAAGGATTTATAATTAAACATTAGTCCAACCTAGCATTATTTTAACATCATTGAATTAAGAAAGAAGGAAGGAATTATAAAATTCAAATTTCTTTCACTTATCTATTAATTTTTATATATAAAAATGTGTTTGGGATGATCCTTAGTGTTTATTCGATAATACATTTTTCGATTCTTTATTATTTTAACAAATTGTTCAGTACCTAAACTCAATTTTAGAATACTTTTTTGATTTTTTTAAACAAAATTTTTTAGCTCTTTTTAATAAAAAAATTTTTAAACTATTTTGACAAAAATAAATTATAAAATGATGACTATTACAATATAACCTTTGTGAATTGAATTAGCTCTTAAATTACATTAAAATATTTTTAAGATATCCATTCTTAACTGTCTTGGCCAGAAAAGATTTTTAAAAATTTTCAAAATGACTATGAAAATTGTCACTCTTGTGAATTATATTAGTACTGTATTATTCATAATATAATAACTTAATATGATTAATAATAAATCCAAATTTTTAAAAGAAAAATTATAGTTATTTAATTTAAAAAACCATTATTGAAAGCAATTTATCGTAGAATGTCTTTCTATTTCTAATAATAATTTATCCATTTTAAAAAATAGGTTACTATTATATTTTTAAAATACTTATCTCAATCAGATAATCATATCCAATTTGTCAATTTTTTTTTAAATATTTATCCACTTTCAATTTATCAACAGTCATCTTGATGTTTTTCCTGCTTTATAAAAATTACTTAATCCCCTCACCACATCTTTATTGTTTTTATAGATTCCCCTCCACCTCCGTTTTTTTTATACTTACGTATTTTTTTCCCCGTAGATTTCTATTCTTAAATTTTTTTCCGACAGTTTTTTAGTTTTTTTCTTTCACAATTTTTTTTGTTCTTCCCATTACCATTTAAAATTATTTTAACTTAAATGAAATTCAAAAAAAATACCGAAAAATTAAAATTTAAAATACAAAAAGAATAGGAAAAAAAGTAGACTAAAAAAATCACGTTGAAATAAATAAAAAGATTGAATGAGGTAACAGGAATAAAAAAGTGGCCAAAAATTGAGTAATATAGAAATTCTAAAAGAAAATTAATAAAATTTTTAAATAAGAGTACTGAAAAATTTAGTTATAATTTTTAAAAAATTATTAAAAGTTATGCTCAAAAAGTGAGTTGAAAACACAAAAAAAATGAGATAAAAGAAAAGAAAAGTAAAAATGGAAAAATCTAAAAATATTTCATTATTTTTAAGATTCAAAAATTTTTTTTTAAAATATATCTAAAAAAAGTTCATCTTAAAAGAACAATTGAAATATTAAGACTTCCAAAAGAAAGCAATAAAAATCTTTTAGGCCATGCAAGCATAGAACTATGAACAGGTTAGATTTGCATCTATGGATATTTGAGATAAAAGCATTTATTAGAATCTCCTGTGTTATGAGATTTAGATTATTATTTTTTTAAATTATTTTTTCGTAATTTTTGCGTATGTTCTAAATCTTAGTTTAGTAATGCCCTAGTAGATACTATAAATATTAATTATATTCATTATACAATAGCATCCTTATCATATAGCATTTTATCTCGTAAAGTATAATTTAAGGTTAAAATCCTATATGTCATTTTTTTTTAAGTTTCGGTGTAAGACCTCATTTATTATAGCCACAATGTCGTTCAAACGATCGGAATGTGTCATTAAAAGATAACGTAATTGTTTAATTTGACATAATGTATTTTGTAAATTATGTATCTTTTGAGCAACATCTAGGAGTTTCACAATATGCAATGGACGAGGTCAAGTTCAATGTTTTTAGAAACGATTGGAATAACTTTGATTTTATTTTTCCTAACAACTAATATACGTTAATATAATTTTATAAAATGATAATTTCTTTAATTAAAACAGTGCGACATTAGAGAACCAAATGTTATCAGAATAGCTCCTGCTCCATTGTATAACACATTTAGACAAGTTTATAGATTTTGTTTTATATTGTCAAATATCCTGGTTAAAACCCAAAAATAATAATTGTTAAATTTATTCTTTAAATTATAATATATGATATCTATGCATTATAACTTGTAAATATAAAGAAATATATCAGTTTATAATTTATCTTTTTCATATTTCAAAAAATTGAATAAATAATATGAAAATATTATTCTATTATTTAAGCGAAAATAATTCTTAAAAAATCTTAGCCGTTCTTCTTGTTTAAATTTCTGAATTTTTACCATATAGGGGAAACAATCTTATTCATTTTTCAAAAACTATTTAAAAAATTCCTCAGAAAAACAGTTTTAAAATTTAAAAAAATTATTTTAGTAAAATTAATAGATTTACCCAAGTAGATTTACCCAAATATTTTATCTTATTTTTTGTAGTATTCTTAGGTGGTGGCTAAATAAGTATATCAATATCTAGCAGGCTTTCGCGGCGGAAATTTGAGAGAGGTCAATTTTATAAAAAAAAAACATGGCATACCTGAATATTTTTCCTTAAAATAGAAGTAGTAATTTAATCAAATTATTTTAATAGTTCACTTTAGTTGGCATGATGTCATTCTAGGCTATCACGTTTACATCGCCAGGTTTGAAATATGCAAACTCAATCTAACTACCTTTTTTTTACCAATAATTAAATGTTTGTTTAGTGAGCTTTTAATATACATCGAGGAACCACCGCGTATAAGAAATTAATGCCCAGATTTTATAATTTTACTAACTTGTTTTTTCGAGTCTAATATTATCTCGAACATTTTTTTAATTAATTTTTTTTTTAAAATTGGAAATTATTATGGAATATTTTGAAATAAAAATTAGCAAAATGTAGAAATATCTCTAAATTTTCCTTTGATAATTTCTAGTTTTATTTAAATACATAAAAAAAATTTATGTTATATAGATAGAATATCAAAAATAATGTAATTTTTTTATCACCAATAATATAGTGTATATGGAATTGAACATACTGCATTATCATATCATTAAGACTTCAAAATATGCTACTTTATGATAAGTTATCATTAAATATAAAAAAAAATATAGTAAATAATTAGCATTTTCTGTGAACTATAGATGATCCAACTTCATCATATTCAGTTTTAGTTATACACATAGATTGAAAGGTTGATAGAGATGCTAAGATTGATCCTCCAATCCAGGTCAGAAATTTTCTGTCATCAGGAGCTAAAACTGATATTGTAATTGTCGGTGGCGCCAACGCGCTTATTTCTTTTTCTAACCTTTCCTTCAATCCTGGATACATAGTTGATCCCCCAGAAAGCACAATATTTTTGTACAATTCTTTACGAATATTCATATCGCATTTCATTATAGAATTATATATTATTTCATGAATGCCACCCGATTCCTTTCCAATAAAGTATGGCTGAAAAAATGTTTCAGGACACCTAAAGCGCTCGTCACCTATTGTGATAATTTTGCCATCAGGCAACTCATAACTTTTTTTAATTTCACAAGAAGTTTCTGCTAACGCCATTTCTTCTTCGAAATCTAACGCAACATAGCAGAGTTTCTCTTTAATATCTGCCACTATTTCTCCTTCGGTTGTGCCTCCCTTTTCTGACAAAATATTTTGCAAATATTTGGTTAAATCTCTACCTGCAAAATCAATTCTCGTGATAGCATGAGGTAGGGCAAATCCATCATAAATTGGGACTACGTATGAAACATCATCTCCCGAGTCAACTACTACACCCGTACCCTTCCCCGATCCGATTAAGCCTAAAAGTTCCTGTATTCCGATATAAAAAGCTGGAACTTTGAACTTTTCGAACATAATCTCAGTCATCTTTTCTCTGTTAGGTTTAGGATTCAAGGGAGCCTCTGTCATCAACACGGAATATTCTTCGGGAGCTATTTTCAATTTGTTGTAAAATGCGTGATTCCAAATTATCTCTATATCCGCCCAATTAGTTATTACACCATGTTCTATGGGGTATCTTAAAGTTGGCATGCCGCTTTTAGTTTCATCATCCTCAGCCACGTAGCAATCTTTTTGCCCCGTACCCATAATAGTTGAGGAGAAAACAGCGCACGGGAATGCGTCCCCCGCAAAACCAGCTTTACATAACCCTGACCCATTATCAACTACTAATGTTCGAACTTCACCCATTATAACAAATATTAAATAAAATAGTTTTTTATGATAAAATTTCCTAAATAACTAAGCAATCAATCGATCAAAATAAAAATATAATTACATCACTAATTAAATATCATTGTTGCTTCAAAATTACTTCCAACTAATTTCCTTGGCTATTATTAAGGTGTTAGCTTCGATAAACATTCATTTACATTTTTTTTTATCTATATCTTCTTTTTGCCATACCCCTTATTTATTTATGAGAGGGTGCGGGTCTAATTACCTTCCTTTACCCCCTATCCCCCCCCACTATCTTTTCGGCTTGTTTGGTGTAGTCTTGTTGTCAAATGATTTATAAATTTTTCTTTTTTTTATTCCTAGGTATTGTAAGGGGAAATTAGATAGTTGCCTCATGGAAAGCATATACAATCACATTTTTTTTAAAAACTAAGTGATTATTTAAAAGGTTTAGTATTTGAAAAATAATGTATACAAACTAAAAAATCGTCAAGGATTGTCACAAATAATTAAAGCCAGTGATGTTACTAATCTTTATCGTTTGGTACTAATTTTTTTTTTAATTTAAATTTTATTTAAGAAATATTTACCTAAAATTTCTGCCCATAATAAAATTTCTTATCATATTTTAATAGAAAAAAAAATATATTATCAAGGCTCAATTCTTAGACTACAAGGATAGTAGTGGAAAATTTTTGAAAGAAAGAAGTCTCATGATTCATAATCTTTAATAATAATATCTAAAATTAGATTTTTTTTGAAAAAAAGTTGATATTTATAAAAAATTTCCTTATGATCATATTCACATGATGAAGAAATGATATCATAAAATCTATAAGTTATGCAAAAGAGGAGAACGTTTTCATCCTTCAGGAATCGTTAATCTGTATATTATAAATCTCAATAAAAAATTAGTGGCTTCCGCTAATTATAAAGATAGATAAAATAATATTTAACATATCTATTCAAAATAAATAAAGTTTTAGCCCCAAATAGAATCATCCCAATGATTCTATTGAATGAAGTAAGAGTTTTGAAAAATACTTCCAGGTTTCAACAACTCCTAGAGAAATTTTTGCAAGGTTAAGAAAATTACATGAAAAAAAAATAGCTTAATGGATTTCAAAAAAATGTACGAATTTGCTTATTTTCGATAACTAAAATTTTAGCTTGGTATTTAAATGTAGATTTAGGATTAATAGATTTAATAATTTCTTTTTACCTGTCTAAAGTTTTTATGGGCATAAAGGTTCACCGTAATGATAAGACTTCGACATTTTTTTTTAAAATAATTTATTTATATTTGTTTGATTTACCATATAAATTTTGTTGTAATATATAGGTTACAAATAGTTCAAATATTGACATTAATAATTTAGTAATGTGGGATTAAATAAATATCATTAAAAATTTTAAGAAACCTAGTTCAAAATGATTGAAAGTTATCATTAAATTTATATATAAATAATTTTTAAAAGCATTTTCTGTGAACTATGGAGGGCCCGACTTCATCATACTCTTCTTTATTTATCCACATAGATTGAAAGGTCGATAGAGATGCTAAGATTGATCCTCCAATCCAAACCAAAAATTTCCTTTCAGGAGGAGCCAAAACCGATATTGTCATGGTCGGTGGCGCTAAAGCTCTAATTTCCTTTTCTAGTCTTTCCTTCAGTCCTGGATACATAGTGGATCCCCCTGAAAACACAATATTGTTGTATAAATCCTTACGAATATCCATATCGCATCTCATTATAGAATTATATGTCGTTTCATGAATGGCACCAGATTCCATTCCAATGAAGAATGGCTTAAAAAATGTTTCAGGACACCTAAAGCGCTCATTGCCTATTGTCAAGATTCTACCATCGGGCAACTCATAACTCTTTTCAATTTCTGAAGAAGTTTCGGCTAATTTCATTTCTTCTTCAAAATCTAAGGCAACATAGCAAAGTTTTTCTTTAATGTCTCGAACTATTTCTCTTTCAGCAGTAGTGGTAAATGAGTAACCTCTTTCCGTCAATATTTTTTGCAAATATTCCGTTAAGTCTCTACCTGCCAAATCAATTCTCATGATAGCATGAGGCAGGGCATACCCTTCATAGATTGGAACCGTGTGTGAGACACCATCTCCTGAGTCAAAAGTTAGACCTGTAGTTCTTCCTGATGCATATAAAGCTAACACGGCTTGTATACCGACATAAAGAGCGGGAACATTAAAAGTCTCGAACATGATCTGAGTCATCTTCTCTCTGTTAGATTTAGGATTCAAAGGAGCTTCAGTCAATAAAACGGGATGTTCTTCAGGAGCAACCCTCAATTCGTTGTAAAATGTGTGATGCCAAATTTTTTCCATATCGTCCCAATTAGTTACAATACCGTGCTCAATTGGATATCTTAAAGTTAGTATACCCCTTTTGGCTTCAGCTTCATCAGCCACGTAGCAATCCTTTTGCCCCATACCCATCATGACACCTTTATGCTTAGGTCTACCAACAATTGAAGGAAAAACAGCACGCGGAGCATCGTCACCTGCAAAACCAGCTTTGCATATCCCTGATCCATTATCAACTACTAATGGTTGAACTTCTGCCATAATATATTTAAAGGAATTTCACAGTGATAGTGATTGAAATTATATTTTATTTGTAAGCAAGACAAGAAATTAGAATCCTGTTTGTTAAATATATGAATTAATTTAAAGATCAAAATTTGATAAAATGATTATATGATGAATCAAAAGCAAAATTATATTACATCACCAATTGTTATGTATTAAATTATAATATCGTTTACGATAAAATAATATTAATTTGAGTAGTATATTATTTAAAGTTTTTAATATAATTTAAGACAATATTAAAACATACTTTTATTGATGGAACATGAAAAAAAAATATAGAATTTAAAAACTAGGATTAAATTTTCACAAATGAAAAATATAAAAGGTAATGATAACCTCACAAAAAATCATAATATCTAAACATGCACGGCTAAATTATTGTTTTTAATATTGCTGGGATTAGGTTAGGGTGTGGTATTGATTGGGAATTTTTGGAATTGATAATATAGAATTAATCAATTTGAACGATAATTTTATTTTTTATTTAAAAGCAATCTTGTTTATCCAAAAGTTATTGTTTTATAATAACAATTATATATATATATCATCAGACAGTCGATTATATACTTTTCAAATCAATTGAAAATAATATAATATGATATCAAATTAACGCCTCACACAGTAAAATAATAACTATTAAAATCAATTAAACATAATATGATTTAATGTGAAATTAACGCCTCAGGCAATAAATTTCGCGCAGGAACAAACGAAAATTTAGCATATCTTTGTCTTCAGTCCCATACCAGACGCTCGAAAACGTCCGAGTTCCTTCCCCACCAGCTTCCAATAAGCTGGTGCTCCCAGTGTCTACATGACAGAATTTTCACTGGATGCAAACCCCCTTCAAAAACTTTTGCCTACCCCCCTAAAAAAAATTTGCCATCTTAGGCGGCGATGTTTCTCCATTATTATTTCCACTTTTTAAATTATAATGATAATCTTTTCAGAGAATTTATAAAGAATAACTTAAATTAATCTATCTCTACTACCAACTATCAATATTTTATAAATATAAAGGATAATAAATTCAATTAAAACCTCCATTATTTACAAAAAATTCATTATTATAGCATTATGAGCTTTCTGAAATATCTAAACCTTTTAAATGCAGAATTTGGAAAACAATGTATATGATTGTTTGCAATATCTAGATTTCGTCGATGAATTGTATTATAATAGTATTATAATAAAAGTATTAATTTCTACAGCAATGAATTTGTCCTATTTCATCTCAAATTTAATAGATAACCGTCCAAAAATTTATCCTACCCCCATTAATAGCCGCCTACCCTTTACCCTCCTCAAAAAAATAGGATGCAAACTGTTCCTACCCCTCCCGCTCATGTAGACGCTGAGTGCCCCTATCCTTCACCATGTTGGGATTAGATCAGGGTGTGGTATTAATGGGAATGTTTGGAATTGATAAGATAGAATTAATCAAATTGAACGATAATTTGATTTTTTTATATAAAAGCAATCTTGTTTATCCAAAAGTTAATGTTTTATAATAACAATTATATATATATATATATTAATATATCTTTTAAATCAATTGAAAATAATATATTATAATATCAAATTAACGCCTCAAACAGTAAAATATAAACTTTTAAAATAAATTGAACATAATTTGTTACATTATAGTCTAATTTTTAACCATACTATTACTTTTGTTTTTTTTGCATACAAACTTTTTATAATCTAATTTTGTAACTTTACTTTTTATTTTTCGTAACCTTACTTTTTATTTTTCGTAATCTTACTTTTTGTTTTTTTGTATATATTCTAATTTTATATAGTATATATACAGATGTGTAAAAAGAGAAAAAGTTAGTTAATAATAATAAAATATATTTTTACTTACTCGCAGGTAAATCCCTCCTTCATTCTTTTCATTGTGCCCTGGCTCTGGGTGGTGGACTAGAATGAGATGACTACCTAACCTATTGATATGACTGCTTAACCTATTGAGATGACTGCTTAACCTATTGAGATGACTGCTTAACCTATTGAGATGACTACCTTATCTATTGATATGACTGCCTAATCTATTGAGATAACTACCTAATTTATTGACATGATCAATGCCTAATCTATTGATGACTGCTTTATTGAGATGACTACCTATTGAGATGACTACCTAATTTATTGACATGATCAATGCCTAATCTATTGAGATGACTGCTTAACCTATTGAGATGACTACCTTATCTATTGAGATGACTACCTAATTTATTGATTTGACCAATGCCTAATCTACTGAGACTACCTAATCTATTGAGATGACCAAGAATCAAACCTTAGCACGTTCTTTCATGCAAAAAGCTTCTTTCTTCATGGTGTCCTGGCTCTGGATGTTGGACTGGAATATGATAACCAGCACCTAACCTAAAGTGGAAACCTAGAAAGAACCAATATGGAAGTTGGACGTTAGGTTATGAATTGTATATTGAGAGACCAATGATGATTACTTATTATTCTAATCCACGTAAAAAGAAAAGTTATTAAAAATTAAAATTTTATGCCGAGATAAAGGCATGTTGTAAATTTACTTATTAAAATAACTTAAATGTAAATCAACAAGACATATTTGAACACATAAAAAGCCTTAAAAAAAATTACTTACTTAATTTCTTAGTGAAATATTGATATTTTTTTGATTTCTTATATGATGACCAATTGTTGTAAATTAACTAAACCTAAAGATGAATTCTTAGGTATAATTAAAAATAAACCATTAAAAATCCTAAACAAGAAGAATTTTAAATATATTAAAATGTAATTAAAACATATGAATTAAAAGGAATTGATTTAAATGACCCTTATAAGTAATACTTAATATGATAAAAATGTTTTTGAAATAAAGCTTTTGAAGACAAGTGGTTATGTTACATCTTCATTTTAGATAAATATTTAAATGATGTGATGAGATCATTTTCTAAAAATTATCTTAGGAAGAAATTTTATTAAAAATAACACTTTTTGAATTAAAACTAGGGTGCGAAATTTAAATTTTTTATTTTAAAGAGAGGGAAATGTGAATAATATTTTAATTACATATTTTAACCTCGGAGATTGAAAATAAATAAAAATAAATTAAATACTAAAACGCAAAAATTAATTAAACACTAAAAGGCGAAAAAATAAAAGTCATTAAAACGCGAAAAATTAAAACGCTAAAAATATTATACTTGAAAAATGATAATAATAACAACTGAGAACTACCAAGCAAGCTATGATTAATGGAGACAACTTACGATAAGGATATCAAGCTTGCGATTTAAACAAACCAACGTACAAAATCGATTTAAAACAAACCAACGATTGGGACAAGCCAACGTTATGATGATTTGTGAAACAACTTGATTACTAAAACGATAAACTACTTGGACAACAAACTCTCTATGACTTCTCAGATGAATTTATGGGAAGGCTTTCAGAAGAGGGAGAATGTTACATTATAGTCTAATTTTTAACCTTACTATTACTTTTGTTTTTTTTTGCATACAAACTTTTTATAATCTAATTTTGTAACTTTACTTTTTATTTTTCGTAACCTTACTTTTTATTTTTAGTAATCTTACTTTTTGTTTTTTTGTATATATTCTAATTTTATATAGTATATATACGATGTGTAAAAAGAGAAAAAGTTAGTTAATAATAATAAAATATATTTTTACTTACTCGCAGGTAAATCCCTCCTTCATTCTTTTCATAATTAATATAATGTAAAATATAATTACCATTTCAGACAGTAAAATATAAACATATAAATATTATTTTACACTCATGTAACTAATATGAGTATGATTTTAAAAAAAATTTAATATAATATTTAAAAAAAATAATGTAAAATATTTTTTTAAGAAAAAGACAATTAAATAAAGAGAAATTATTTTTAATATCATTTGCCATCATGACATGGCGATGATATAATATGTGGATGGCACGGCTTGCATATGATAGGAGGCTATAAAGGCAATCGAAAAATTAATATATAATTTATATTATTTTCCAGAATTTTCGAGTTATCAGAATCATTGTTTTCGTCCTGTTTTCCTTTCATATTTATCCTTAACTTCAGTTTCTGGAACGTGTTCTAAGTTCAGGTTACAATATAAAATTTTGATTTTCATTTATATTTATTTACCGCTATCTCATAGATATAATTTTCAAAACTATATTTGGAAGGGGGGGGGGGGATAAATTTTACAGACATGACTGCCAGTCTTTTACTGGACTTTGACTGGTATAATAATATTGGTTTTCCACTATAAAGTAGGTTTTATACAGACAGAACTTTTTTTCAAAGCGGTTTTTAATGGATGTTTTCAGAAATTTTTTTATTTCCAAAGATGATAATTGGTGAAATTTAAATTTTTAACGATTGAATGCGTCTGAAAGATTCCTGAATATTAGGGATAGAGAATGTTTTTCAGGAAAAGGGCACTTTGACATCCACACATTGTTTTTCTGTTTTTCTTTCCTTTTTTTAATAAATTTACTACAACTTTTAAATATCTTTATTTGCTTAAAATGATATTTACAGAACTCAGATTGGTGCTTCTGCATTATATTCCATGATTATATTTAATATATTTTAAATATATGTAAAATTAATAACTGACTCAATTGATAAATATTTAACTTATAGTTTAATGATCACATTTTGAATAGGAGCTTGCGCACCTTTTAAGGTGTAAAAAACAGCAACTTATGGTTGTTTGGTGTCCAATTCTAAAACATTTTTTTTAGATAATAAAAAATTAGAAGGAAGGAACTATTAATCAAAAAAATGGTGGATATTTGCTACAGCGTCGATATCTACTCCCTTATTAATCTTATAACTTAGCATATCTAATTTTTAGATTGTTCAATAAATGTAAACAATATATATAGTTGGTTGAAGTTTGTGAATATAATTTTAAAAAATTTTATATATTATTTAACTTTCATTCATTTAAACATGTGATAAATAAAATTTTAAAAAAATGTTAAATAAAAATATAAGATATTTTATAGTTAAAAGATTGAAAATTGAATATTTTAAACTTTCTTATGTACATAATTCTATCAAGGTTATACCATCTTCTAGTAGCATAGATTTTGAAAACTATAAATTATTTATAATTGATTCTTACAAGAAATATGGTTATATTTTTTCAGATTTAAATCCACTATATCCACAAATTATAAAAAAGGAAGATATTTATTCAAATTTAATAAAGTTACTATGTATCTCTAATACAAATGAAGATAGTAAAGAAAATGATCTATCTCAAATTCAAAATATATATAATAATTTATATTGTGATAAAATAGCAACAGAATTTATTCATATAAAAGACAAGAATGAGAGATTAGGATATGAAGATATTTATAAAACTCTAGTATATTCTTACTATAACAATTTGCAAATTAGTATTAATGATAATGCACTGCAATTTAAGGCAAATCTAAAAAATAAAATAAATCTTTGTAAAATTCTGAATGATTCTCAGATATTGGACCATTTTTTTCACAAAAAATTTCCTTCCTTAAAGTGGTACTCTAATGAAGGCTCTGAGAGTATGATAGCATTTATAAATGAATTAAAACAAAGTTATCTATCATCCAATACCTTATTTAAAACTGAACTCTCAACTCAAAATAATGATAATATCAAATATCTCTTCATTTGTATGCCACATAGAGGAAGAATAAATATTTTGCATCAATTTTTAAAATTTAAATCAGAAGCCTTGTTTACCAAAATTTTAGGAAGCTCAGAAATAGATCCTAATATGGCTAATTATGGATTAACTGGTGATGTTTTATCTCATTTATATAAAAGATCTAATATGGAATATTCATGTATTTCAAAAAAAGGTGAACAAATTAGTGATTTATATTTATAATAAATAACAATAACTCAATATGTGGTTATGTTGTATAGATGTGATATAATGAAGGATATATTGATTAAAAGTGGGGAGGGGGGGCTGAGAATATTTAAAGGAGAATTAGTACTTTTATCAATACACTGTTAGATATATTTAGAACCATGCTGATTCTTATATTAAATATCAGATTGGATCAGGGCTAATATTTAATGCTTTAAAAAAAATAGTAGATCTGGCTAATATTTTCAAAACTGATATTTTCAATGTTTTTGATTATTTTATGATTGTATATATATAATTATATAATATATATTTTATACATAAAATTGATAAATTTTGAAAGGGAACCAACATTTAATTAATTTTAATGCAAAAAACTTGAATTATTTTAAAAGATAGAACTATAAAATATGATATATTTAAAGGAGGATTAGTACTTTTATCAATACACTGTTAGATATATTTAGAACCATGCTGATTCTTATATTAAATATCAGATTGGATCAGGGCTAATATTTAATGCTTTAAAAAAAATAGTAGATCTGGCCAATATTTTCAAAACTGATATTTTCAATGTTTTTGATTATTTTATGATTGTATATATATAATTAGTGTTGTTAAACGGCTAAGCCGAGTCGACTTAGCTATGACTCGAGCCTAGTTTCTAGTCGATAAAACAGCTAAGGCTCGAGTCGACTAAATGAGCCGCATTAGTCGGCTCATTTAGTCGGCTCGCTTAGTCGGCTCGCTTAGTCGGCTCACTTAGTCGGCTCACTTAGTCGGCTCGCTTAGTCAGCTCACTTAGTCGGCTCGCTTAGTCGGCTCGCTTAGTCGGCTCACTTAGTCGGCTCGCTTAGTCGGCTCATTTAGTCGGCTCACTTAGTGGACTCAGAGGTTAGCTTGAGTTTAATTTAAATTTAGAGTCAAAATTTATTTTTATGTTATTGAGATATTTTAAATAATAATGTAGAATTTTATTTATTTATTTTTAGTGAATAATTTATTTTATTTATATTTAATGTTAATATTTTATTATTATCAAACAAAAAATTTTTTTAACTTTTATTTCAAATATGTTTTGATCTTATAATAAAAATGGATTTATTTATTTGATTTTTTTTAAATAAAAAAAAATTCATATTTTCGTCGAGCTAAAAATTTTAAGCAAAAAATAATTTTTGAACAAAAATATTGAAACATATTTTGTTGATTTTTTTATTAATTTTTAAATTTTTTAAGAAATACTTTTGTTAATTTTATCATAAATAAATAATCTTTTAGGTCAAATCTTCTATAGTTTTTTTATATTATTTTTCAAGTTTATTATTAGAGGTGGCTTTTTCTAAATATTTTTTTAATAAATATATTTATATTTTAAGAATATTAAAAGAGGTGGTTTTTCTAAATTATTTTTTTATTAATATTTATGTCAAACTTTTTTTTAATGCCGCAATTGTCATATGCGTTATTTTTTAAGATTTTTGGACACAAAAGGGTTATAATATAATTTATATTGTAAAGATATAATATTATAAATTCAATGAAGATGTTCCCTGGAAAAATGATAATTATCATAATAGGTAGGTATATTTTTGAACATATAAGATTTTTTTGTGACGCTAATGGGCAAAAATATGTTTCTTTAACAGGTAAAATTTAATGTAGATGTACCCTAGATAAATGACAATTGTCATAATAGTTATTTTTAAAGTTTTTTAAATTTTTTTGACGTAAATAGGCTAAAATAAGTACTGCTAACATGTCTAAATAAAACTTCAGTGAAGATGTACCCTAGAAAAGTAACAATTGTCATAATCGTTGTTTTTAAAGTTTTCGAATTTTTTTGACGTAAATGGGCTAAAATAAGCATTGCTAACATGTTAAAATAAAATTTTAGTGAAGATGTACGATAGATAAGTGACAATTGTCATAATCGTTGTTTTTAAAGTTTTTCGAATTTTTTTGACGTAAATGGGCTAAAATAAGCATTGCTAACATGTTTAAATAAAATTTAAGTGAAGATGTACCCTAGATAAGTGACAATTGTCATAATCGTTGTTTTTAAAGTTTTTCGAATTTTTTTGACGTAAATGGGCTAAAATAAGCATTGCTAACATGTTAAAATAAAATTTTAGTGAAGATGTACGATAGATAAGTGACAATTGTCATAATCGTTGTTTTTAAAGTTTTTCGAATTTTTTCGTAAATGGGCTAAAATAAGCATTGCTAACATGTTTAAATAAAATTTAAGTGAAGATGTACCCTAGATAAGTGACAATTGTCATAATCGTTGTTTTTAAAGTTTTTCGAATTTTTTTGACGTAAATGAGCTAAAATAAGCATTGCTAACATATTTAAATAAAATTTTAGTGAACATGTACGATAGATAAGTGACAATTGTCATAATCGTTGTTTTTAAAGTTTTTCGAATTTTTTTGACGTAAATGGGCTAAAATAAGCATTGCTAACATGTTTAAATAAAATTTTAGGGGAGATGTACCATAGATAAGTGACAATTGTCATCTTTGTCTTTAAAGTTTTTCGAATTTTTTTGACGTAAATGGGCTAAAATAAGCATTGCTAACATGTTTAAATAAAATTTTAGTGGAGATGTACCATAGATAAGTGACAATTGTCATAATCGTTGTTTTTAAAGTTTTTCGAATTTTTTTGACGTAATTGGGCTAAAATAAGCATTGCTAACATTATTAAATAAAATTTTAGTGGAGATGTACCATAGATAAGTGACAATTGTCATAATCGTTGTTTTTCAAGTTTTCGAATTTTTTTGACGTAAATGGGCTAAAATAAGCATTGCTAACATGTTTAAATAAAATTTTAGTGGAGATGTACCATAGATAAGTGACAATTGTCATAATCGTTGTTTTTAAAGGATTTTTTTTGACGTAATTGGGCTAAAATAAGCATTGCTGACAATTGTCGCATTAAAAAAAAGTTTGACATAAATATTAATAAAAAATAGAAATAAATTAAAAAGGAATAACTAAAATAAATAAAAGTTAAAGAAAAATTGACAAAAATTTAATAAATATTATGATTTTCATAGTACATCTTCACTAAATTTTTATTTAAACATGTTAGCAATGCTTATTTTAGCCCAATTACGTCAAAAAAATTCCTTTAAAAACAACGATTATGACAATTGTCACTTATCTATGGTACATCTCCACTAAAATTTTATTTAATAATGTTAGCAATGCTTATTTTAGCCCAATTACGACAAAAAAATTCGAAAAACTTTAAAAACAACGATTATGACAATTGTCACTTATCTATGGTACATCTCCACTAAAATTTTATTTAAACATGTTAGCAATGCTTATTTTAGCAAAAATTCGAAAAACTTTAAAGATAAAGATTATGACAATTGTCACTTATCTATGGTACATCTCCACTAAAATTTTATTTAAACATGTTAGCAATGCTTATTTTAGTCCATTTACGTCAAAAAAATTTGAAAAACTTTAAAAACAACCATTATGACAATTGTCACTTATCTATGGTACATCTCCACTAAAATTTTATTTAATAATGTTAGCAATGCTTATTTTAGCCCATTTACGTCAAAAAAATTCGAAAAACTTTAAAGACAAAGATTATGACAATTGTCACTTATCTATGGTACATCTCCACTAAAATTTTATTTAAACATGTTAGCAATGCTTATTCTAGCCCATTTACGTCAAAAAAATTCGAAAAACTTTAAAAACAACGATTATGACAATTGTCACTTATCTAGGGTACATCTTCACTAAAATTTTATTTAAACGTGTTAGCAATGCTTATTTTAGCCCATTTACGTCAAAAAAATTCGAAAAACTTTAAAGACAAAGATTATGACAATTGTCACTTATCTATGGTACATCTCCACTAAAATTTTATTTAAACATGTTAGCAATGCTTATTTTAGCCCATTTACGTCAAAAAAATTCGAAAAACTTTAAAAACAACGATTATGACAATTGTCACTTATCTAGGGTACATCTTCACTAAAATTTTATTTAAACATGTTAGCAATGCTTATTTTAGCCCATTTACGTCAAAAAAATTCGAAAAACTTTAAAGACAAAGATTATGACAATTGTCACTTATCTATGGTACATCTCCACTAAAATTTTATTTAAACATGTTAGCAATGCTTATTTTAGCCCATTTACGTCAAAAAAATTCGAAAAACTTTAAAAACAACGATTATGACAATTGTCACTTATCTAGGGTACATCTTCACTAAAATTTTATTTAAACATGTTAGCAATGCTTATTTTAGCCCATTTACGACAAAAAAATTCAAAAAACTTTAAAGACAAAGATTATGACAATTGTCACTTATCTATGGTACATCTCCACTAAAATTTTATTTAAACATGTTAGCAATGCTTATTTTAGCCCATTTACGTCAAAAAAATTCGAAAAACTTTAAAAACAACGATTATGACAATTGTCACTTATCTATCGTACATCTTCACTAAAATTTTATTTAAATATGTTAGCAATGCTTATTTTAGCTCATTTACGTCAAAAAAATTCGAAAAACTTTAAAAACAACGATTATGACAATTGTCACTTATCTAGGGTACATCTTCACTTAAATTTTATTTAAACATGTTAGCAATGCTTATTTTAGCCCATTTACGTCAAAAAAATTCGAAAAACTTTAAAAACAACGATTATGACAATTGTCACTTATCTATGGTACATCTCCACTAAAATTTTATTTAATAATGTTAGCAATGCTTATTTTAGCCCATTTACGTCAAAAAAATTCGAAAAACTTTAAAAACAACGATTATGACAATTGTCACTTATCTAGGGTACATCTTCACTTAAATTTTATTTTAACATGTTAGCAATGCTTATTTTAGCCCATTTACGTCAAAAAAATTCGAAAAACTTTAAAAACAACGATTATGACAATTGTCACTTATCTATCGTACATCTTCACTAAAATTTTATTTAAACATGTTA